TTTTCTGTGTACAGCATAGTGATTCTAGTTTTATTATATATATATATATATATATATTCCTTTTCATATTATTTTTCATTATAGGCCATTACAAGGTATTGAAAATAGTTCCCTGTGCTGTACAGTAGGACCTTGTTGTTTATCTATTTTATACCTATTAGCTAGTATCCGCAAATCCCAAACTCCCAATTTATCCTTTCCATCCCCTTTCCCCCGGTGCCACAAGTTTGTTTTCTACGTCTGTGAGTCTGTTTCTGTTTTGTAAATACGTTCATTGATGTCATTTTTTTAGATTCCACATATGAGGGATATCATATGGTATTTTTCCTTCTCCTTCTGGCTTACTTCACTTAGTATGACAATCATGGATGATAATCTTAAAGACTGGCAAACACACCTATTTGCAAATACAGTCTCCCATATATAAAAGGCCCTTAAAATGCATGAAAGCCCACGTAGCTCCAATGGCGCCCTGCTCTGAATCCGCGGTGGATTTCCCATGCCTGTGGGTATCACTCACCATTTTATCTCCTTGCCGTCTTTGCTGACTGTCAGCTCCTTAAAGGCAAGGTCTGTACTGTGTTCACCCCCAGGGCCCAGAACACAGTAGACAAACTCGAGAAATACTTATTCCAGCCAGCCTAAATGACTGGGTATCCCTGCAAGCCCTGGATGCTTATTCTGATGCAGTAACAACGGTGATAACAGCTACCAGCACTGTGTGCCCCTCCAGACCCCAGGGGAGACGGCACTTTACCCGCACATCTCACTGAACCCCCACAACACCTGGCGAGGCGGGCATCCCTGTCCCCTTGTTACAGGGAAGAGGAAACAGGGACTCAGAACAGCTCACTTGAGTCACGGCACAGGCAGGATCTGCAACTGGGTTCAGCTCCAAACCTGGGACTCTCCCCGACAGGATGCTGGTTAAGAATTTTATAAACATGCTCCATGGTTACCTCACTGACATGCAGCATGGAAGAAAAACATCTTAAGCCCAATCTCATCAATTCGGCTACTCGGATGGGTGTTTTCCCACTTGGGCAGCTAAAGGAACCCAAGTCATGATGAAAGCTTTTACCCTGTATGACTATGTTCTACATAAACTTAATTCAGTCATATGCCAATTTGCTATCTAAAAATTGTCTTGAGGGGGTAGGGTATAGCTCAGTGGTAGAGTGCATGCTTAGCAAGCAAGAGGTTCTAGGTTCAATTCTCAGTACCTCCACTGAAATAAATAAATAAACCTAATTACCTCCCCCACCAAAAAAATAAAATTAAAGTGTATATATTTAGTAAACAAAGAAAAGCTATTTCTTGCCTCACGATTTTCCTTCAGGGTAAACAGAATGTGCTTTGGGGACTACGGTAGCTTTGTTTTAGCAACGTTGCTGCTTTAAACATTTGCAGTTATTTTCTGCGGCATAAAAATAAATCTTTCTTTCACAGTTCTGAACACACAAACCTACCCTTTTCTCAAGCAACAGGATCAATGAACGAGTAAAAAGTGCTCCCTTCATAAGGGTGATTAAAGTCTGATTAATCTAAAGAAAGATTCCTATCGGGCAGACAGATTACATTCTTTGAAGAATGCAACACACATAACTGACACTAGGTGGAAAAAGTAACCACAGTTCAACCAACCGTAATATCAAAGGGGTTCATGAATGGAAACACTATACAATCACGCAATCATGTTTGGCATTTTTGCTTAAAGATAAAAACTTCTGATGCTATTTTAGAATATAAAGATTCTTAAGAAATAGGTACCTCTTCTTTTTTTCTTGTGAGTTAACCCACGTAGGAGTTAGGGATTCTAACAGGGGAAAACCTGAAGACACAGATGGTCAAAACAAATTGACTTGGACCTACGTCACTCCTGACTATCAAATGGAACCTCTTGTCTTTTCTTCTTTCCCTAGAAAAAAATGCCCTTCACTCATATTTATGCTTCATTTCTATTGTTTCCCCCTGATGTCCCATTTACCAAATAAATCACGGGCCACAAAAATGAAAACATCATTTTGAGACGCAGGGAAGTGTATAATTCAGGGCAAAGACCTATCAGAATTTCTGTGGGTTTTGAGAACCCATTAAAAAAGGGGGAACTACAGAAAAGAACACGACCAGCCATAACAACAAGGTGACGCTATTCCCACCAGGGCTCCTAGTGCTGCTTTTGACATTGGTAATGAACCAAAATGATCTAAGAGCGTCCCACGTGCTCACCCATCAGCACACTCACACATCCTCTCATCTCCCATGCCCCGTTTTCCCAGAAGCATTATCCACCCCCATCAGTCTCACAGAAAACAAATTCACAGAAGAACAATAAACCAGTCCCCGAGCCTCACACTTTCACTTAAAACTGCTAAATCCCACTTCCTCACTCACAAGGTTTCTGTCTTTTTTTTTTTCCCCTCTTACCTTTTTCAGAGTAACTTTTCCATATGCAAACTTTGGTGTGGATGGAGGGATAGGACCTTCTGGTACTTTTTCAAACTATAAACCGGAGTGGAAAAAGACAGAAAAGAAAAAAAGCTGTTAAACTCTCAGAAACATTATCTATACAATTCATTTCTCAAAAGGAGGGTCAAAGACTCAAACAACAGTGCCAGTGGTTTCTGGAAAGGCAGAGGAACAGAGAACTTTCTCCAAAACAGAATCTAAGTGTGTGTCTGTGTATGTCTGCGTTTTAAGCTGCAGGAATCATTCACGTAATTACAGAATGAAAGACTTCAAAACAGAGAGCAGAACTGGTAGAATGAAGGTGACAGCTGAAGACTGGACTAGGGGGAGAAAAGGAAGACAGTACGTGGTGAAACAGCCTCCAGAGAGAGGTAGCCTCTAGTAGGGGAGAAGAAAAAGAGAAAGAAAACACGCTATTTGTGGATTAAATCTCATTGGTATATTAAAGTTCTGTATCTGTGTTAAATTTGCTGTGGTTCTGTAAGAGCACATTCCTACCCCTTCTTACAAACCCCACACAGAAGTATTTAGGGGTGAAGGGTCCTGACATCAGCGCCTCCAGAGGTTTAGGGCACACACGGATGTGGGGAGGGGCAAATGATGACACAGACAGTGAGCTGTCTACAGGGGCGGGTCTGGGTGTGGAATATACAAGTGTCCTTTGCACTGCTTTTATTCTTGAAACTCTTCGGTAAGTTTGAAATTATTTTTAAATAAAAAGCTACAAAATAAAGTCTTATGAAGTAGGTACACACACACATATTTTATATTAACGCCAGAAGAGATGGGTGTGATTTCCAGGTCTTGGAAAAGTCTGTGTCCATCTGGCATCTCCAAGTAGGTTGCACTATCATCTCTCAGGATCCTTATAGCAGTCCGTCCGTCCGTCTGTCCGTCCGTCCTTCATTCCTTCCTTCCTCCCTTCCTTCCTCTTTCTCTCACTCTTTCTTTTGGTTTCTCTTTTTGAAAGTAATAAAAAAAGATAAAAAAGACTTTTCTAGGAAAAAGGAACAGTCTTCTGACTCATCATTCTCTTAGTTCTGTTCTTCAGAGGAAACCATTTTAACATCTTTTAATTGCTCCTATTCTTGCTTCTTTTAGTCTCTAAATAATACATTTCTCTGCTATTTCTTGTTTGATCAATTAAAAACCCAACCTTAACTCAAGGGAATTTAGCTCAGTTGTACCCCTCCAGATTCCTCCCTTTCTTGCCAACATGGTGACATTACCATTTTCAGTTTTTCTCCTGGTCACCTCTGTAGCTTTAAATAATATCCTATACCTTTATTTCTTAGTTCTACCCAACAAAGATATTATCCCTGGTGCCCACACTTTTAAAGATAAGGCTATTTACATCCTTCCCCAAGCCCTCCTCTACACTCCCACTTCCAAACCATCAGCTATACGTTGTACATGGTCAAGGTTAAAGGTCTGTCCTATAGCCTCTCTTCATCTGTATACCGGCTCTAAATTCAAAACCAATCAGTGCTGCTCACACTATTACAATGACATAAATATAGCTCTCTGCACAGCTAAGTCATGGATATGTACTAGGATGGCATGCTCTGTCTCTCTCCTGACATTTTTTTTCCCTCTCCCCTGGGGTTTCTAATTGCCTTTCTTTTTTCCTGTCAGCTGTTAGGTTAATATCTCTTGATAATATCTCTTGAGGTTGTCCCAAATCTCCAAAGATGGTGTCTCCAAGCACCCCTTCTCCCTGCTAGAAAACTTCCTCCTGGAACCCTCAGTCTTCCTGCTTCAAGGAACCCACATGGAGCAAGAAGACAACTTTATTCAACGTACATTCAGGTAACTCTGATGAGGCGCCTAGGTGCCGGTTTTTTACCACTCACAAAGACCCTCGTGGCTCGTTATTATATTCCCTTTCTAGAGATGAGATTAAGAAACTTGCTTGGGACTATAAAGAGGGACTTTGACTCCAAGATGGAATCTACGGGTCCACCTTGCCTCCTTTTTTGCTGTAACAATAATGGAACAGAAAGTGTCTTCATCTGTAATTCCAAAACCAAAAAACCCCACAAAACCTTCTCTCTTCTGCTTTACCTCCCACACCCTTCTCTCATGCACACATAAAGATAAGAGAGAACTTTGTAATTTGCTACTGCCACTTACCAAAAGCACTTTTGGTATGAGCAAATGCTGACAATAATTTTATTTACTGCTTATTACATTCAAACGGATATGATGGAATTTATATAATCATCCTCTCAATATTAGGAGTTAAATTATATCTAGTTTTTGATATTATGAATGATGTTGCAATGAACAACTTCATGTCTACTTGGCATTATCCTTCTTCAGAATTTTTTAAAGAAATAAGGCCCCAAGTGAGAGGTTACTAAGTCAAATGATAGGAGCATTTTATATGATTCTTCCTTTTCTTTTCTTTTTTTTTTTAAATGGAGGTACTGGGGATTGAACCCAGGACCTCGTGCATGCTAAACAGGTACTCTACAACTGAGCTGTCCCCTCTCCTCTGATCTGTGCTTTAATCATACTTTTCAGACCAGTCATAAATACTGCTTCTTACCATACTCATTTAACTGGACAAATTCAACCTAGGAAGCTACTCTTTTCCCTGTGGAATCCAATAGATTCAACGGTGACTGACTTTTGTTTCCCCAAGATCTCTAACGTTTTTATCCGTTTGACAAACAACTCTTAATAAGCAAGCACTTTGTGTCAGGTCCTATGCTTGGTACTAAGGATAACAGCAGCCCCTAGTCCAGAGTGAGAAATGTGTGTAAACAAGTTACATTAACACACTAGGAGCAATAGTGTATTCAAGATCTCCACACTATAGTGGGGGAGGTTATAGCTTAAGAGGTAGAGCACATGCTTAGCATGCATGAGGTTCTGGGTTCAATCCCCAGTGCCTCCTCTAAAAAAATTAATAAATAAATAAATAAACTTAATTACCACCCCCAAAACAAAACAAAAACAAACAAACAAAAACATCTCTACACTATAAAGTGGTGGCATAGAACACAGTGTGACTGCAGAGATGTGAATCAAAGATGACTCCCCAGAGAAGGTTAACTGAGCTGTGTCCTCATTTTCTGGATGGATAAAGGCAGAGGGACTAGCCTGTGCAGAGGCCAGGAGGTAGAAGCAGCATCTCCTGTAAAATCCACAGAACTTTATATACTTTCATTTTAAGGCTAGAGAGTCACATAAAACAAAGGGAGAATTGCAAGATGAGGCTTGAGGAAAATAGGGGCCACGTTACAGAAGGCATCCTGACCAGATCAGCGTTTTAGAGAAGTCATTCTGGAAGGCAGACTAGAAAAGCCAAATGTAGGAAATGAACTGACTAATGCCACCAGCCTGTGGGTGATGCTTTAAAAGACTAACATTCGTTAAGTAATACTTACGTTGTCATCTTTAATTATGCCAACTCCATGGATCATCAAGAGACAGCTGTGTCTACCCCCTGAGCTAATGTCATTCCAGCCATAAACCAAAGAGAAGACTCAATGGGTCAGTGTAGACTGGTCCTGGGTCAAGTTTCAAACTTCATTAAGATTCTAAAGTCCTGAAAATCACAGTGGCCTCTCTTGTCCTCAGTCCTCACCCAGCCCTAATGACCCCTCAGGGAATCTCAAGACCCACTCCAATCACCCAGGTCCTCAACTACAACTTGATTAATTTCTGCAGAATGACCCATTTTCAAAAAGCCAGCTGGTCTCTCATCTTTGATGGAATCCCTATGAAGAACTGGAACAAAACTCTTAAAAAAAAATGGGTCTTAGATTCATTCAAAAGCATGCAAAAGTAAACTCACCACTGCCCCTCTCAGGAATCAGTAGTGAGGAGGAGGGCACCACTCTACAGTCTACGGTTCATCCTCGAGGTCAAAGTGTTAACCATGTCTGGTTGAATTTTGCCCACACCAAAGAGAATACCTTAAAATGCAAATGTCATGAGCTTTGTCATGCCTGGAAGAGTCCTGTGCAAAAGGCCACGTGGAACCTTGTGCAGCCTTATGGGAAATCCACGTCAGTGAAAGAGACTGTCCATCACCACCTGACTTACTCTTGAGATGGATTTAAAGAAGAGACCTACTCAACTTTTTAAGTTTTTGGTAAAGGAAAAGAGGCAGGAGAGCTATACATGGGGATATTTATGATCTTATTTCTTTTCCTTGATGCAAATAAATATTCTAAATACCATCTAACAAACCAGCTAGCTGAACATCTACAAAGTCTCATTAAGAAGGAGCCCATTTTTAAAGTAGTTCATTTCTCTCTTCCAAACCTGAAATATCAAGAACAGAATAGTTAAGCTTCAACCTGTCATTAACTATTGAATTATAATAGGAAAGAACACATCTGACTCCATATTAGATCTGATACTTTGGCTCTAACCCTGTGCTCTGTTGCCAGTGCCTAATCATGCTGGTTCTGCACCTTTTGTAAAAGAATGTTGCCTACAGCCTGAAATATATAGGACAGTCCATCCTCATGACTTTGATGTTTAAAGGGATAACATTTTTCCACTCATATAGAGATAGATAAGAAGTTGCAGAACAGAGAATAACATTTGTCTTGTTGGAGGTTTACAGGAACATCATGACCCTACGAGGACTGCTGCAAGAACAAAGGATTCTGACACCAAGAAGTTTGCACCAACCAACCACACCCCTTCCCCTTCTTAGTATGAAACAAGCCTGAATTCTGACTTAGGGAAGATGGTCTCTAGGACATTAGCCCCCACCTTCTCGGTCTGCTGACTTTCCAAATAAAGTCATTACTCCTTGCCCAATACCTCGTTTCCGGATTTATTAGCTATCATGCAGCGAGCAGAACTTCGGACTTGGTAACTGAATTACATTAATTTCTGAAGACTCTGTCTCTGTCACAGGTTCATCTTACTGTGCCCACTGGTTAAACACATGGGATTCCCCTTCTCTTGGCCCACTGCCTTCTCACTCAGCTCTCCACGTCGATCTCTCTTGGGCTTCAGCCTCCACTTCCACAGCGACTGCAGACTCTGTGCCTGTCCTAACGACT